CATGAGAATTGTGGTTAATAAGATAGAAAAACAAAACCCTAATCTAATATGATTTATTTTAATTTAATTTATATCAACCTGTGACTATATCAGATAATGCATTTCTAGATCCTAATTCTTTCTGTACTCAAACCTCACATGTCCCACTGCTTCCTCTGAATGTCTTATAGCATCCAAAATTCCACATATCCAACATCAAATTCATTATCACTTTTTTCAGGCCAGCCCACAATTTAATTAGTTCAATAACACTAACTTTGTCCAAGATAGAATTATTCAAATGATTCTTTACTATTCATTCTGCTTCATGTTTCATATCTAGTAAATCATGTATCCTGTCATTTAGTCTTAGAAATGACTTTCAAATCTACCTTCTGTTTTCTAAAATACATAACATCATTTCTCACATATTACTAACAACAACGAGCTCTTTAAAGAACTCTTGGGGGAAATTCATTGATATTAAGATAAAATTGGGATTCTTTCCTCAAACATCAATTCTCTGATGAATTCTTCAAATCTCTTGTGCTGTACCTAGTCACTCAGTCATGTCTGACTCTTTGCGATCCCATGGACGCTATGTAGCCTGTGAGGTTCCTCTGTGCATCAGGATTCTCCAAGCAAGAACACTGGAGTGGGTTGTCATACGCTCCCCTCCAGGTGATCATCCCAACCCAGGGATCAAATTCAGGTCTCCTGCATTGCTGGCAGATTCTTTCCTCTTTGAGCCACCAGGGAAGCCCGAATCTCTTAGCCAGAGGTAAAATCTCTTAGAGGTAAAAGCGTCATGCTCCCCTCTCCCACTCTTTGTCCATATTACTATCATATTGTTTAGTAATTACATTGAAATATTTTGCTTACCTTGGACCCACTCCTGTATGTAAATTGTTTTGTATTTTAAGTGTTTTGCTACATCCTTGGCTTATGATAAGCTACAATTAATAGAATGCTTAGATAACTAATAGCATTTTATCAGCTATGTTAAAGATTTAGAAATATAATGAGAAAATTCCTAAGTGTAGAAAGAGAAATAAGCCTATTTCAAAACATAAATCCATGGTGATTTTTATTCATTTATTTAAAGATTAAGCAGCTAAGATTTATATTGGCATTTCATTTATGTTTAGTCTCTGGAAGAATTAGTTTGGCTTCTATGATAAATTAAAAAAAAACAAATGCTATTTTTAAGGTAATTTTAGAGGATAAGAAAAACATCTTCAGCATTGATGTAAGATGTGTCCCCTTGGCGGGTTTTATACTGTACCACTTGACTGTTGCTGAAGCCATGATAAATTATATATTTTGGCATCAATAGTGAGCCCCATTTATTATTGTCTTAGGTTTTATACTTTATAACAAAATGAAAAATTCCAAGATAAATTTAAACTTGTAAAACACTTCTTTTTTTAAAAAAGAACTACATGATACATTGGAAAACCAGGATTTAACTCACAACTCGCATCCCATGAATAAGTGTCATTTATTTATTTATAATTTGTCTTAATTAAAAAAAGCACCAGTGATAAATTAGTAACTTTTTAATACTTAGAAATTTTAATTTAATTTGACATAAATTATATTTGTGAAAAGAAAGCTCTAGAGTGCAGTTAATTTGGAAAAAAATAACAGATTGTATTACATGAATATTTTTATAAGATGTATGTATTTATTATATTTATTTAATTAGATAGCATTAAATACATGGTTGTGTTATAGTGTTGTGTATCAAGTTAAAACTTCCGCTGGGAGAATAAGGACTAGTATCTTCAATATTTCCATTACTTCTGATTTCTTGAAAATGGTTTAGTAGTGACATAATATCAATAATAGTTGTGCTTTATCATTTTACAAAGTGTTCCTCAGATTTCATATTATTTTTATAATTGGAAGTAACAGAATTTATACCTATCTGTATCTTTTCTGTTAAAAATCCAGTGCTATTATAATAATACACTACTATGTTAAATAGTAGTATACCAAAGATGTGATATACTCTGATAATACCACTATTATCCCTACTAAAACAAAATATTCTAAAGACCTCAAACCTTCACAAATGAAATTTTATACTCCATTTGTACACATTAACTTATTAATATATTCTCAGCATTTAATTAATTAATTTAGCTATATATTTTCATGTCTAATTTACTGTTTATTTTCATATTTAAAGGAAAAGCTAGATGCAAAAAAATTCAGGTAAGGGACTATGTAGAAGACATTAACACTATTATTTATTAATATCAATAATTATGCTCAATTATATATGTATTGCATTTCCAGAGAAATGTACACACCATCTTTTCAATTTCACAGAATCCTAGTGAGGAAATCATTATGAGTATACTTCTTTTTGATGTAGAAAATAAAGTTCTACTAAATAACATAAAAAATTGGGAACCAAGGCAGAATTAAAATCCATATTTCCTAGTTTTGTGCTCTAGTCAATCCCTCTATATTTGTACTTTCATTTTGTTGTTGATCAAAGAAAACATGATTTTTTAAAAAAGTATCTATAAATACTTTGTTTTATGGCTCTACAAGTTCTCATAATGGTGAGGTAAGACTGAACTTCTGAAGCACAATTTTTCCCTTGGCCTATGTCTACAACACCAGTGGTTACCACATGTAATTGTGACTGAGGAAACAGTATCAACGTTAGGTAAATATATGTGGTCCTTACAAAGTGCCACAGAACACCTGATTCTGCACTTTAAGTAGGTTATAATTTTTCATAGAATTTTTTTCACCATCCATCTAACGGGTTAAACATTAGCGTGCACAAGAAATACAGCTTAAAATACCTGTAGAACATGTACTGTATCTGTGTATAAATTTCTGTCTTCACTCAACTCATCTCTCATTCTCTGTTTCATACTAGGTACTGATCTCATATTTATATGCTCAGGCCATGCTCTGTGCTCACCCACTCCCTTTCTCACCCAGTCATTCTTGCTCCCTAACATTCTCTCAGGAGGTGAAGGGTGGCTGAGATCTCACATGACAATAATCAATGCGTGTTTTTACATCTAAAATCTAAACCTTAGAATTTTCTATCACTGGGGATTTCACATGTTAGAAGTGAAATCATCTCCTTATATATCTGATATCAATACGGTCTCAAATTTCCCTTTTTATAAAAGTTTATGAATTTCCTGATGCAGAGAAAAGCAGAAAAAATGGAGAAAATATTATTGTTTAATTGCCCTAGAAATCCTCTAGTGCTTTACTTAAAAATAAGCAAATAAACTTAGGCTCTAAGTACCCATAACATTTGAACAAATATACACATACCTATAAACACACACACCCCCTCACCCAAATATATATAGATATAAATATTTACATAGATATACATATATAGATAACAGATATGTATTTTTCTTTCTTTCTTTGCATATCAGGAATACAGGTAAGATTTTTTTTTTTTTTTTACAGGTAAGACTTTAAATGCTAAGGACTTATTATTTGGGGGCCCCTTCTATCTTACTATATCCAAGTAACAATGAATGATAGGATGATGGATATATTCAAAACTAAGCCAAGGAACTAGATTAGACTGGAAAGGAAATAATTATAAATGTAGTTAAATTTAGAAATCTTGAGCTTAGGAGAACTTTACATAAAGTGTGGTCAAAATTTTACTTATTTTAAAAGTTCAGAAAAAACTAAATGCACACATCTTTTAAATGCCAGGGTACCTAAAATTTAGTTTTAGTATTCTGAATCCATTCTATTGCCACTTGTTGAGTCCAGTTGTTATACCATAATTCCTCTTTCTAAAGCATAAAAAGAGCCTTGTAAAATTTCACTAAGACGATGTAAGAATGACTCAGTATTTTATCTAAGCATATATAAATATGGATTATTTTAAGCATATTGAAATATCAATATTCTGTTCAAACTCTATCTCCCAAAGGCAGGCTATAATTGGTTAAATCAATAGTTGGTAAATGCAAAAATTCACATGATGTCATATGTTCTCGGAACATTAGATTTATTTGTTCCACACTGTAGAATTTAATTTTCTTCATTCTATAAACTCAAAGTCAAGTATTTACCATAAACATGTATATAAGCATCATAGAAGAGAATCAATTAGTATAAATGCAATCTAACTTTTTCTTTAAGTAAAAGGGTCATTTTTTTCCTGCAACAACAAAGTATCAGAATGAACCATGCACCTTAAATATTGGAACAAATCTTTGAAGATATAGAAATTCAAAGACTCATTTTGTGTTATCCTTAATCTGAGGGAAAGGAAGTATACTTGAGAATATACCACAAGTCTAGTTTCAGATTAAGAATTTTATTCTTAATCTATTTTGGTAGTATATATAAAATGAGATACTACTCAACCATACAGAAAGAATAACATTTTGCTATTTGCATCAACATGGCTGGACTTGTAGGACATTGTGCTAAGTGAGATACATCAGACAGGAAAAGATGAACACTATATATCACTTATATGTGGAATTGAAAAAATACACCAAGCTAATGAATTCAAAAAAGAAGTTAACTCACAGATGTAGAGAACAAACTAGTGATTACCAGCGGGGAGAAGGAACTGGGAAGGGAGATAAAAGGGCAGGGAAATACAAGATACAAACTTTAATATATAAAATAAGCTACAAGGATGTATTGTATATTACAAGGAATATAACCCATATTTTATAACAACTCTAAATAGAGTAAAATCTTTAAAAATTTGAATTACTATTGTACACTTATAACTTACATAATACTGCATCAACTATACCTCAATTAGAAAAAGAATTGATTTTTTAATATAATCATCAATTATTGGTCTGTTTGATCTTGATAGAATTGCTTATCTTTACTCCATAGTAAAATAATAGTAGATACTTAAAATCCTTTCTAGTATACTCTAAAAATGAATATATATAGATTTCTCTTGAATGGCTATTTTCCTTTCCTCCATTTGCTAACTGAAAGAACAAAACCTCAACTTTTTCATGAATACATTCCTCTCTTACCTTGGTAATGGTCTCATGAAGATTGAAAAAAGGATCCATTTCTTCAATTTTTGTTGCATGTTTAGGAAAAAGAGCCTCAGAGAGAAAACTTGGACCCTGTGGAAAACCAGAAAATAAGCATTTTAAACTCTTCATTGATTTTGTTTTTCAAGTGCTTACTGGATTTTCTTTAAAGCTACAAAAAGACTCTAAATTGCATCAAGGTTTCTGTTGACTGTTGAATTTCATTCTACCAATCTAATTAATCATGAGATAATCATAAACTAAAATAAGCAGATTCTATAACTCAACATTATTTGTATTTATCAAAGGATGTTTTCTTTCTCAGAAAATATCATTATTTGCATTTCATAAAAAGGGGTGGGGGATGAATTGCAAACTTATTACAGAGTAAGATACCTTGACTGCAAAACCATATCTGAAACCCCTTTCAGATATGGTTTTGCAATTTAATTCTTTAAGCAAGCATTAAATTTTATGCTGAAAGGCAAGTAGAACGGAATGCTTTTGAATGAAACAAAGTCTTGGCAACGAGGTGCATAATATAAATATTGCAAAACTTCAAAACTATAGTAAAATATATTTTAGATAGAATGAACTCATGAGGTTATGTGTTGCCGATAATGTATAAGATGCTGTATGAGACACTTAGAGTTAAGATGGTTGAAATAAATCAAGATACTGTATTAATTATTTTGTACTTGCAGGTATAGATAAAATTCAGATTGCAAGAAGTCATAGGGTGCTGATAGTCCATTATGGTCTAAATATTTATTGCCCTTCCCCCAATTCATATGCTGAAATATTAATCTCCAAAGTAATGGTATTAGGAGGTGGGGCCTTAAGGATGTGATTAGATCATGAGGATTCTCTTCTCATAATTGGGATTAGTGTCCTTATAAAAGAGACCTCACAGAGCTCCTTAGTCCTTTATATGAGATAAAACAAAAATTCTGCCACCTGGCAGAGGGCCTTTACTGACCATCTGTTCTGTTCAGTTCAGTTCAGTCACTCAGTCATGTCCGACTCTTTGTGACTCCATGGAATTCAGCAAGCCAGGACTTCCTATACATCAACAACTCCCGGAGTTTACTCGAACTCATGTCCATTGAGTCGGTGATGCCATCCAATCATCTCATCTTCTGTCGCCCCTTCTTCTGCCCTCAATCTTTCCTTGCATCAGGGTCTTTACAAATGAGTCAGCTCTTCACATCAGGTGGCCAAAATATTGGAGTTTCAGCTTCAACATCAGTCCTTCCAATGAACACCCAGGACTTATCTCCTTCAGGATGGGCTGGTTGGATCTCCTTGCAGTCCAAGGGACTCTCAAGAGTCTTCTCCAACACCACAGTTCAAAAGCATCAATTTTTNATGATCCAACAGATGTTGGCAATTTCACCTCTGGTTTGTCTGCCTTTTCTAAAACCAGGTTGAAAATCTGGTTGTTCATGGTTCACGTATTGTTGAAGCCTGGCTTGGAGAATTTTGAACATTACTTTACTAGGGTGTGAGATGAGCGCAATTGTGCGATTTGAGCATTATTTGACGTCACCTTTCTTAGGGATTGGAATAAAGGCTGATCTTTTCCAGTCCTGTGGCCACTGCTGAGCTTTCCAAATTTGCTGGCATATTGAGTGCAGCACTTTCACAGCATCATCTTTTAGGATTTGAAATAGTTCAAATGGAATTCCAACACCTCCACCAGCTTTGTTCATAGTGATACTACCCAACCATGCTGGCACTCTAATCTTGAACTTCCAGCCTCCAGAACTTGAGAAATAAATTTCTGTTGTTTATAAGCCCCTCAGTCTCTGATACTTTGTTATAGCAGCTGAAATTGTTATAGCAGCTAAGACACTACCTCAATGCTCTTGTAGTTGTTAACATTGTAAGTATATTATGAAATTATTATTATCTACATATAAGTTTTATTTGAAAACCTGAAGTAACTATAGCTACTTGTCTAGAAAAAAAATATGTCTTAGGACAGGTTATAAGTACTTATGGAGATGATAGATAGAAAAAAGCAAGATGGTAGACAGGTAAGTTTTTCAAATTTTATCATGGGAATGAGATTAAATCTAGTCTATACCAACAATGACCACACAGGGTAACAAATTTTATTTGAATTCTGTTAAAACTATTTATTAGGTCAATCCAGCAGTAGAACAAATTACTTTGGAATCTATCAATGGTGGGAAAGAAAGTTAGGATGATATAGTTGATAGACTCAGAAACCATACAGATGAGAAGTGAAACCAACATAATTAAAGTCTCTATATGTTAAATAATTCTGTGATCAAGCATATTCTTCACTCCTTATTTTGAACAAAACTATGATTTTTTTTAAGTTATTTAGTGGTTTGCTCTAGCATATATGCATTTTTGGATAAGACCACGAATCAACCAAAGAGTTTACCTATCAAGACTAATAGCTTATTTATCAAGACTTGTTTATGCTCCTCTCCTCATTTTGCTTGCCATTCTAAAACTAATTTTAGAAACTGCCCAGTTCCAACCAGCACTCCACTTTTTAAAACCTGCCATAAAACCACACAACTGAGGCTTAAAATAAATCATAAATGCTCTCTCCTAACCTCCCCCACCCCATTCTAAGAGACTACTAAGATTCTCTGTTATGGGTTGAATAACTCATATGTTGAAGTCCTAACCTTTAGTACCTCAGAACATGATCTGATTGGGAAATAAGTCATTGCATATATAATTAAATTAGAATGTTATATTGAAGTAAAGTGGGTCCCTACCACAATATGATTAGTGTCATTATATAAAAAAGGAAATTTAGAGACAAATTTGTACACAGGGAGTAAGCCATGTGAACATGAAGGCAGAGATTGGAGCTATGTGTCTACAAGCCAAAGAAATACAAAGAGTGCCCCAAAAGCACCAGAAGCTGGGCAAGAGACTTGGAACCAATTTTCTGCCACAGACTTCAGAAGAAACTAACTCTGATAACACCTTGAACTGTCAAGACAATATATTTATGTTGTTTAAGTCATTCAATCTCTAATGCTTTATTATTCAGGCCTAGGAAACCAAGAAACTCAGTAAAGGTGGTATTCTTCTTTACTACAATAAGTATAATACATTTAATTTTGTCTATCAATTGGGTTTTGTTTTGGTATTTCGGGCAGTCAATATAGAATCAGGTTAAAATTTTGATTTGCCATAGTTCTGTGGCATCTTAATCTCTAAAGGATTAGTTACAGTAGCTAAGAAATTTTGGAGATTTACATACTTCACAGAGATGTTGTGAGCAGTCAAAGCCTGCTAATAGGAGACACTATGTTAATGGCATTGATGACATTGCTAAAAACAATACGTATCATAATAATAATAATGATGAGAGTGGTAATGATGTGGTAGTGATTATGGTAGGATGCTGAACTAAAGGAAATCCAAAGACTCTATGATCCTCAGAGAAAGTGTACAATTTGCATGGAGATATCTTTGAACTGATTTTAGTGAAAGTATGACATGGACAATTTGTGGCATTCATTGTCATTTAATAGTTTAACTTGAAGTCCTTAAAAAGTTTGCCCCAAGAGTAGTTGTAAACTTCTTAAATTAATTTTATCTTATTAGTATATTTAAGACTTCATAAATAGTGCAAAATTAAAATACAAGCAAGCCTCAAACTGAATGATCCCATAAGAATATAAATTGGGAATTATAATTAATGAGGTTTTATCAAACTTTCAATTATTCAAAAGCAGAACATATTGATTTAAATCATCCATATATGTCTTATTCTCTACTATAACTCCCTTCTCTATCTTGTTCCTTCACCTGACTCTTACATATGATTCATATCATTCTTTCTTTCTAGTGCATTTTTAAAATCATTTAAAAAAATATGCTTCCAACACTTACTACATGTCACGTACTACACTAAATACAGAATATAGTCCTTAACCTCATGGAGTTTAATTTAATGGGATTTGAGTCCATAATAGATCAAATATCACTGTCTGAAAATATTAAGACACTACCATTCTTTTTCATGTATATATGAATGTAATAATCATCATTTATGAACAGGTTTTTGCATATCCTGACATAAAAAAGTAATGAAAAGATTTCTTAAAACAGGATATATTCATTGTGAAAGTTTTCCCTGCTATTACATTAACTATAAGTGATGGCTGTTTGATAATAACTCCCATCTGTTGATAAAGAGAGGGAAGTAAAACACCCTTAACCATTTAGAGAGCACTTCTGTTTAGAAAAATTCACTGATAGACTGAAATGAAGAAGTAAACCAAGATATGCAAAACTTACTTGTGTAGGGATGCAGATCATAGTAAAAATACTACATAAGAAGGGATAGTGATAAGAAAAGGCTATCCAGGATCTCGTTTGAAATTCAGTTCTTCTCCCCAGTCTCTAACTTAAACGTCCTTTCTGTAACATTTAACAATATTCAACATACCTTCCTTCTTTCAACTCTTGCCTAAAGTCCATGATTTGACTCTGCTATTCTCTATGTATAATTTTCTATCTATAACTGGGTTCTCTTTTCATTTTTGAGCCTTTAATGTTTCTAGGTGGTTTGTACAGTCTTCTATTTTCACAGACTACCTAGGTGGTTTGGTCTACTTTTCTGGCTTCAACGACCAATCTCAGATTGATAGTTCCCAAAGCTTTAGCTAAATTCTTGTTTTTAGCTCATCATTTTTTTCTGAAAGATCTTTCAGACACATCAACTCATAGTCCAAATCATGAGCATATGTTCCTCCACTGTCACCTTCATTTCTTATCTCGGATAACAGCATAATACCCACATTTTGCCCAAATGTGAAATTGTATGCTATACCTGATTTCAATTTGTTTCACCCTTAGTACGTCAGAACTGCACTAGCCAATTTCCTTCTAATCCATAGGTTTAGACAATTGTCTATAAGTTCTTATTTGCTGCCATAATAGTTACTTATTACTTCCATCCAAACTATGGCCCTTATTGTCTGTAGATGCAAGTCCAAATTCACTAGTATATTTCACAACCTATCTTATTTCATCTTTAACCAAGTCTTTCTTTCCCATAAGATCATTTGCATGATTTCCATACAGCTGCT